CTTTGCTTAAACAAATAAAATTTGACGAAACTTAACGAAACTCTCTTAAGTACATTATAGTTTGACACATATGTTTTATATGTGTTCGCACAGTTGCTTAAGCTGACTTCAGTTTATGCAAGCCTTTAGGGCTATAGTTTGACACATAAATTTTATATATATTTGCACTGTTGCTTTAGCTGACTTCAGCTGGGGTATGCTTATTATATTATTTTTCGAAAAATCGGATCATAAATAACGCAGATATGAACAAAAATCCAAGACAACCTCTGAAAATTTTATCAAATATAGAAATATTTAGTTAATTCATGCTGAGACAGAAATTATAAACAAACAACAACTACACACATAAAAAGTTTTAATTTTGTATTTGTAATTGCTTGTTTATAAAAACAAAGCATAGCAAGAACAACACGATGCGAATAAAGATGTCTGTTATTGGTTAAGGCCTAACTATAATATCCTTTCATAAGTCGAAGTAAGCTTAAACAACTGAGCGAATACATAGTGTCGGTCCACACACAGAAACTTTAGTTGAGAAACTTTTTCTTAATTCTCTTTTAAAGTTTCCTTAATGTCCACACATAGAAACTTTTGTTTCAGAAACTACGTGTAACTTGCATTGATTTTTTTGTACAAATGAGAAGAATAACAAAACAAAATGAGTTTCCGAGTACGAGAAACTCCGTACCGCGAGAGTGATGAATGATATTTCTTTCTCTTTCTCTCCCACGCAAAATCAAAAGTTTCCTAAAAATAGTTTCCTAGTGTGAACCGGCAGATATAAAATGTATGTGACAAACTATAATGTACTTAAGAGAGTTCCGTCAAATTTTATTTGCTTAAGCAAAGAGCAATACTGACAGCTCATTCCCTATGGAAAGTGCCGGTCCACATACGGAAACTTTAGTTGAGAAAGTTTTTCTTAATTCTCTTTTAAAGTTTCCTTAATGTCTACACATAGAAACCTTTGTTTCAGAAACTACATGTTAATTGCATTGATTTTTTTTGTACAAATGAGAAGAATAACAAAACAAAACGAGTTTCCGAGTACGAGAAACTCCGTACCGAAAATTTTATTTTTCAAAAAGAAACTTTTATGTTGAATTTTACCTTAATTCCAAAGTATTTAAGCAATTTATTGATAAAAAACTAATTTCCTAAATATAAATATATAATTATATAGAAGTATAGGTCAAACTTGAGCCGATACTCATTCAATTTGGGAAAAGGATATATTTTTAAATAACAGTTAGTTATGTTGAGTTTCATTGCGATACAAATGGTTACAAGTCAATTTTAGACGTTTAAGATATTTTTTGAAGGGGGGTTTGTATGGGGGCTAGGGTCAAATAAGGGCCGATCATTACGAAAATCTGCAGTGTCATTTATACTTATATAAAACATATTTGTGTCAATTTTTAGAAAGATAATAGTATATTTGATGTAATTATGGCATAAAAAGCCCAAATCGGGAGGTACGGTTGTATGGGGGCTAGGTGAAATAATGGACCGATTTCAACCATTTTCAATAGGCTTCGTTACTGTCCAAATTTCATCAAATTATCTTGAAAATTGCGGCCTGTACCTTGCGCACAAGGTTTACATGGACAGCCAGCCGGACAGATGGACATGTCTTAATCGACTCAAAAAATGATTCTGAATCGATCGATATACTTTAAGGTGGGTGTAGGACCAATATTTTGTGTTACAAACATCAGCACAAACGTATAATACCCTCCCCACTATAGTGGTGTAGGGTATAAAAAGTGAAACAGCTGTTTACATTTTACTTTGTCATTGTTTTATACCAATCGTATAAACAGAGAAAATATATATCATACGACTTTTATTCTCTTTTTTGTCATACGGATGGAATTTCATTTTACTTTTCATTAGACTTTACGTACGTAAAGCGTGATCGTGTGAAGAGCCCTTTATTATACACAAAGAAAACAAAGAATAAAATGAAAAGCGACAAGAAAATTCATTTATTTCATTAAAATATTATGAAATATGTATTTTTTATTACGTGTGTAACATAAATATGCAAATGGGGCTTAATTGTTTTGAATGCACGTAAGTACATTATAGCCACCTAAAAGTTCTTAAGCATTTGAGAGTCTTCGTTCGGTTTTCACATTACCTTAAGCAAGCCTTTAGAAACACGAAATTAAGCTTTTAGGTCCCAAAATAAATATTAATCTATAAAATAGGACTTTTTGTTAATTTTTCGTTCTTCAAAAGGTACTTTTTGCATTTTCTATAACATTGAACTTAGAAACATGAAATTTAGTATGTAGAGCCCGGAGTAAATAAGAACTTTTTGCTACTTTTTTTCAAATGACACTTTTTAAATTTTCTATTGTATTGAACCCAGAAACATGCAGTAAATGAGAACTTATTAAAGGGTACTTTTTGAATTTTCTATATATTGAACCTTAAAACATAAATTTAAGCTTGTAGAGCACGGATTAAGTGAGGACCTATAAATACTGGCTTTTTGGTATTTTTTTCGTTCTTTTAAAGGTACTTTTTGAATTACTTTAATATTGAACCTAGAAACATGAAATTAAGTAAATGAGAACACATAAAAAGGGACATTTTAGTACTTTTTGATTCTTCAAAGAGTACATTTAGAATTTTTGATAACATTGAACATAGAAACATAAATTTAAACATTAAGAGCCTTAAGTGAAAATCTGCAGGAAAGAATTTTTGGCACTTTTTTGTTCTATTACTGGTACTTTTTTGCTTTTATGCATACACGTAGCACCCTGATTGATTGAAAATCTATAAAATGGGACCTTCTGTACCGCAATTCTGTAATTTTTTAATTTTAACTACCGATATCGTAAAGTAACGTAAATATCGGTTGCATTAACGAATTTTCAATTCTGTAACTTTTTAACGACCATAGAATATTTTAACGACAAAGATCGGAAAAATATGAGAATGTCAAAAGTTTTGTATTGAAATATTTTTAAAATATAAAATTATTAACATGAACTTTTTATTTGTCGTTACATTGCCGATACTTTTCGAATTTTTACTATTTAACGACAAAATTTTGTAGTTAAAAAGTTACTGAATTGCGGTACTGATACTTTTTTATTTTTTGTAATAAAACTCGTACTGACTGTTTTTTTAACACAACAGCGAGTTCGCGTGTTTCTATCTATCGCCAATTTCTATCTATTTATGAAAATTTTGAAGAATATAAGAGTTTCCAAGATACACGGAATTTTGTAATTAATTCATATATGTGGTGCCAAACCACCCATTGTAAGGACGAAATTTTATATTTAATTCATATGGGAGGTACAAAGTTTTCCATTGAAAGTCCGCCTGTTATACTCAAAATGTTCAGATGAATGTCAAAATTCTGCAAGTAAAATTTGAAGATTCTAGCTCTAATAGTTTCTCAGATATACGAATTTTTCTATTTAATTCATATGGGGGCTTCAAGCTCCCCCAGATGAAAGTCCGCTTTTTTTCTCCAAAATGTTCAGATGAATATTTAAGTTCTTTGTGCAAAATTTGAAGAATTTAGTTCCATTAGTTTCCCAGATAAACGAACTTTTGTATTTAATATGGGAGCTGCCGCTCCCCTCATGGGTAGTCCGCCAATTTATTACCCAAAATGTTTAAATGGATTCTAACTGTAATAGTTTCCAAGATAAACGAATTTTTGTATTTGATTTATATGGGAGGTGCCACGCCCCCTAATGCCAGTCCGCCTACTTTTTGTCCTAAATAATCATATTGACACTAAAGTGGCTCCGACAAAATTTGAGGACTCTAACTGTTATATTATCTCAAATATATGCATTTCATATTTTCTTACCTATTCCAGAATATGCTGTGAAAATTTGAAGAAAATCGGTTGAGCCCTTTAGTAGTCTATAACGTTCAAACATACAAACAAATAAACATACAAACAAACCCATATTAATTTTTATATATATATAGATAATTTTACCGAAATGGTTTATTTACGATTTTCAAAAGTCCATGTTGTTAGAAGAAGAATTTATTTCAATGTATTATTAATACATATCGTTACCTGAAACGCAAACGGCCCTAACTAACCAAAATTCAAAATCGATTTTATTGGTGATTCTAATGTATTGCAAATGTCCACACCAAAAATTGGACTCCTCCGACCATAATTATCAATTTTATTGACAGAAAACAAAAGGTCCTATCTACAAAAACATTTAAATATTGAAGGTATTATCCATTTTTATATACGCCATTGTCAACTATCATAACAAATGATAGGTTTGACTATTAAACAATTTGTTTATTTACTTTAAATAGTTTTTTGCTTCTCCTGTAAAATTTTAGAAATGTTAGAGAGGGCCGTTTGCGTTTTAGGTGACCATATATTCATAAGCTCTTCATTGATAAATGTATAATACTTTATGATTCAGTAAAACTGAAATACTTACACAATTTCACCTATATATTTGTTGTCGCGCTTTCTTTTTAAATAACACTTTGAATGTTATTTATGTACAAAGAAAACCATGAATTAAGATAATTTGAAAAAACGAGAAACCCCGTTTGGGTGATGAGGTGTATGATATATGTACATATAAATTACAGTTTATGATAAATTAATTACACTTATTATTGCATTAAATAAATACTACAAAACTAAAATTGATAATAGGCTATTGAAAGCGTCCCTCAAAGACTTTTTATATGATATCAAAATTTCATTCCTTTGAGTGAAACATGACAAAATTGGTAAAAAAAAATTAAACAAGTATAATTTTATCCTTTGATCCAGCTCATCAATATTGACCCCAAGACTAAAATTTTGAGAAACAGTATCTTAGAATGACCCAAGATTTTTTCGGTGGGAAAATTAATACCTTATTATTTCTCCACACAAACGGGGCTACCCTAATGTATTTTTTATTTTATGCACTTGTAATCTTTTAATATACATAAATTTAATTAAAAAAGTATATTTTTGTGTTTGTATGTAGGTATCATGGATTAGACGAAAGGATTTTCAATTGTTAACAGTCGGTTTATCGACACACAGTAGCGATAAACGATTTTTAGTTGAACATACTCGGCATATGGGACATTGGTCACTACGAATAAAGTCTGTGCGAGAAGAGGATCGAGGTCTTTACGAATGTCAACTCTCCATATATCCTACCCAGTCCATATTCATTGAGTTAAAAGTTGTAGGTAAGTACTTATTTACTTATAAATTAATACATTTTTTTTTGCAAAAGCAGACAAATTCCTATCCCTTTGGTTTCGAAATAATTATAAGGTACAAACTTTTTGTTAAAATAACTATTCTATAAATTATGTATACAAGTTATTTGGATAAAAAATGCTTTATAAAATAAAGGAATCTCGTCATTTAGTTGTTAGTCTAAAAAAAGCGCAAGTTACGCGCGCGAATTGACCTGATTCGTGATTTGCTCAATTTAAATGTTTTATGATCGCTTAATATAAAATTTCCAACATGGTTTTAGCGAAAGCGTTTTTAGATGATTAATTCATTTAAGTAAGGTTATGTTTAAGTCATAAAATGTCATGTTTAACATAACATTTTATGACTTAAATATTGAGTTAAATCTTAATTTGAATAATTTATTATTTAAAAACTTTAAAACTGAGGTAATTTTTCGAAAAATAAACTATTTTTTTTAGAAATTTTAAAATGTTTTTTATAAAAAGGTAGAATTTAATATAATGCAAAATATCCTACCCTTATATTTTCCTATATTAAAACATAAAATTATGACTTGAGATGCTATAGTTGAAACATTTTAAATATTTTTTAAATACATATAACATTGAAGAATAAAATATATTTTTATAATTCACTTGTCTATATTAAAATCTTACTTACCAGTTCGAGTCAAAAAATTTGGAAAATAACACAGAAATCAAAATTTTACATAATTTTCATGTTGTGCCTTATAATTATTTCATATGAAATCATCGACATAAAAATAAAAACATTTCAAAAGATATATTTTTAGTTAATGAAATGTCTGACATTTGATGGGTTCTAAACAGAATCCCTATGTTACAAGAATATGAAAAATAAATTAGTTGTAAAGCTGTCAACAATTTCTATCCAAATTGTAACCATCAGCTTAGAGTTTAAAACAATATAATTTGATGTAATCTGAGTGAATGAAAAGTGACCACGTTCGTAAGAAACTGTTCCGCCTGTTTAATACTTACTTGATGAATCGGTTTCGTTTCAGTTTTATGTCACTTATTTATAAGATAAAAGAATGTAAAATTAGAAAAATTTCCACTTTTGTCATAACAATAGGGAAACTGAAAATCATTCTTATTTTACACTCCTTTGTGTCATAAAAGCGACTTTATAATATAATTTCTTTTTTTCTCTCTTCTCTTACTTTATGAATAATTTAAAAAATTAACACACTTATTTACATATTTACTGAAATGTGCAAACACTTATTCTTCTAAATTTTGAGAGCAAAAATAAATCTGCATTTTTATTCTATCTAAAAATCATCATTTACGTTTCATTTTGGTATATTAATTTGAACTAAAATTTAACAACTAAATAAATATGACATGACAATTTTTATAGCTGATAAGCTACCGAACATTGTTTATACTTTCTTTGTATTTTTTCGTTTGTCTTCGCAGACCCCCTAGGATGTTGCTACGGACCCCTAGGGGTAAGCAGACCCCCATTTGGGAACCGTTGTTCTAAGGTTTCAGCAATGTGCCTATTTCGAAAGAAAACCCTGAGGTGGCAAGTAGTCATAAAATTGTAAATATTAATATTTTAATGTAGCAAAAACCTCACAAACAAGTATCATGTTATTGGATAATTGATATTAAACAAATAAAAATGGGTAACTTTTGTAAATCTTGTTATAATTAAACGAAATTTAATTTATTAGGCCTGCCACAGAATTCCATTTCCATCGAAAGTGGGATTATAACTTGTAAATACATCGATAAAAACTTAAAAAAATAATAACATTAAACTATTGTCAATTCCACGTTGAAAATGTGAAGTGGTTTCACTCTGAAAAAGATGTCATTTTCCTTTTTGGAAGATCGGGATGGAATTCTGTGTTTCGATCGGGATGGAATTCTGTGTTCCCAAATTTTGTACGATGAAAATATATAAATAAAGTTAATACCAAATTTGTGTATCTGGGAAACTATATGAAGTGAAACCATATGACTTTTTAGAAAACCGACAGCTTGTAATACGGAAGAAGAAAAGTAGATAATAGATGAATTAAGGCGGCGTACTTACTAATTTGAGTACAAAGAAGAATCTAAGATATGTACGAGGAATATGGACTTCAACACAATGCTTGCCGTTATGATGGAGAAAATAAATGAAATTAACGAGAAACCAATAACGAAAAACTTCCTGAGCTTCTAAAGCTAAGTTAAAAAAACTTCTAAAATTAGTTACTATAAACTTCTTGCCGACAATGAGAAAATTGAAGATACTCCTAAACTTTTTGCTGAAATGGAAGCAAAACTTCAGGAATATTCTAGAGCAACAGATGAAAATATTCAATAAATGTCTGAGATTATTAACAGCAGAGAAACAAAGGTTAATAATCTCCAATTTCAGGAAGGATCGGTTATCAACTTTATAGTGGAGGAAATTAATGAAAATATGTCCGACAAGGATGAATAATTTGCAATGTCAAGAAGGTGCTGTACAAATTATACCACGAACTTCTAGATTCCTGGTAATAACGGCATTACACCATATAATGTGTTCAAGATATATGCACAATGAAGAAAAAGCTATAGAGCTGATTTTGTCATTAAAAGAAAAGATGCAGTAATTCTTGAAAGAGTGCCAGCGAACAGCATAAACAATTATGATGACTTTAAGATTGAGTCATTTGTAAGTGGCACAGATATGCGGTTTGTGCCACACAAAAGTCATCATTCGATGAAACCTCATTTGCGCTGTCAAAAAAAGGCGAAAATAATTACAAAACCACAAATATGTTTAACAAAGGAAGTTAAATATTTGGAGCATCGCGTAACAGCAGAGGGAACACCAACAGGTGAGGATAAAACAATTTCTCTAAAGGACTGGTCATGATTGAAAAATCTCCATGAATTGCGTACTTTTCATGGCCTTTGTACATATTAAAGGTAATTTGTCCCAAATGTTTGTAGTCTAGCTGCATCCCTCCATGAGTGAACTAAGACGTCGCAACCATTCCAATGGGGTGAAGAAAAAGCATTTCAGAAGCTCAAGGATCTACTATGTAAGACACAAATTTTGTCATACTCTACAGCTGAAGAAAAGTTTATAGTAGGTAGCAACGCAAACGGTTATGGAATAGGCGGTTGATGGTACTGATAGAGCCATTGGATACTGAACAGACCAATTGGTCTCTTGCGCAATGAAATGACCCCGAGATGACAAATATCGGCTAAAGAAGAATATAAAAGCATTAATGACATCTTATTGGGCTCTTTGGAATAGTATACAGTTGTAAAAGGGATGGCTACCGGGTTGGCAAAATAGGTACAATCGTACTTTATTGGTAGAATTCGATCTTCAAAAGTACAATGGTACACGAATGCACGGTGGTCAATTCCGGCCAAAAATGATTTCTTTCAAATATATAATTCTGATAAATTGTTGATGGTAAATTATAACTTACATTTCAATCATACAATTAAAACAGTGGTGCTCAAACACATACTAGTTTTATTTGTGCTGGTAAAGCAGCAGAGAACAGAATTCAATTCAAAATAAAAGTATACAAATAAAATGACTACAAACTATAACTGTCAAATATTTATTATGGATTTTGACAGCCAGCGTATATCTCATGTTCTCCTACATTAATTCGGCTTTCTCAAAATTTTGTTGTTGTATTTCTGTGTGTATTTTAAAAACGTCGCGCACAAACCTTGCTTCGACAAGTGCTGATCAGCAACTGATTTGATTTTGTTTTTCAAGTTGAGAACAAACCAACTGATATTGTCCTTATTATATTCTAAGACGATTTAGCCACGTCTGTCCGTCTGTATGTTGAAAGCACGATAGAGTCCGAACGGAAAGTAAGTAAGTAAGTGTCTCATTATCAAAAATCGATCTACCTAATTTTATGAGGTTCGGTCCATAATTACCCTACCCCCTAAATAAGGTCCCCTTCAATAAATTACTCGACATAAGCATGTTTCTTATGAGTTAAAATCTCTCTACCAAATTTTATGAGGATCGGTCCACAATTGACTCTACTCTCCATATAAGGACCCCCTCAGAAAATTAATTAAAAAACTAAAAAAAGCTATACAAATCTAAACTTTGAAAGATCATACAAAAGGAGAAAGGGCTAGGGGCTCACTTGTATGGGGCCCTTTGTCAGTACCAAACCAACCTTACCTATAAGAATTATTTGTGGAAATTTCAGCTATTTATTTAAAGAAATAAAGAATTTATAGATTTTTGGCCGGAATTTACCACTGTGCAATGACCGATTTTATACAATTTAAAATATGTATATTCCCTTATTGAAATAATAATTTAAAATTGTACTTTTAACACCGACTACGTTAAAATTTTTACTAATCGTTAGAAAAAAAGTAAACATATTGTAAATAATCCTGGAAGAGATTACAACCAGACAAGCAGTAATAACACTTACCAAATAGAATACTTTTTATTATTTTTTTTATCCGGCCGCTTTTCTATGGTCTTGTCTATAAGGTAGGGACTTTTCTATGAATTAGACTTTAGACTAATATATATACTAATCTATAGATCCCTAGAACGGTTTTACTGGGTTGGATGTGAACAATCGTTAGCCGATTGAAGAAGTAAGAAAAACTCGTGGACAACTTCAACAGTACAACATTTTAGAGGATTGCAGTGGATGTAGCAGGCCCTTTCCCTATCAATGTTGCTGAAAACCATTATGTTCTAATGTTTATGGACTATTTCAGCAAATGGCCAGAGGTATATGCTATTCTCAATCAGGAATATAGAGCAGTAGTAGGCGTATTTGTGAACAACTGAGTATGCCGTTATGATGTACCATTGGAGTAACGATCCACTGTACGAATTTTGAATTCTCCTGATTGGAAATGTGGGATTTATACGGAACTAGCTAAAGTTCCAAGTATCGATTTTTACAGATCATAATAGAAAAAACTAAATGACTTCACTAAGAACTTCTATCGTTCAT